TTATTATTATTATTGAGGTACCACTTCAATATAAAATTTGGAATAAAATCAGAAAATTACCTTGTGTAAACAAGCTGTACAATGCAATTCTATGAATTTCTGCTCAGAATAAAGTGCAAATGTGTACAATAATCTTACTTCTAGGATCATAGCCTTAGTGTCATTCTTTGTACTTCAAGGTTTCTGGATATTTCATCCTAGGAACTCCATTCTCATGCAATTCCAATCAAGAATTTTGCTTTAGGCAATATGTTAAGGGAACTAGAAATGTGTAATGATCCCTAATGAAACCCAATGATCCTACTGACATCTGCTTTTGTCTCTATGTAATTCCGTGTATTTATCTGAGCAAGACCATTCAGTTTGGTTTCTAATGCACCCCAGTAAAGTCTGAATGCAACTTCACACATTGCCACCTATCAAAACTTTACCTGAGTCTGGAATCCTTAAAAGTGTTGAGATAAGATGGGTAGCTCCACCCAATTTTATTTCCTTTACATCTCAGTTCCAAACTCTGTCCAGCAGAAAGGCTCAGAGTAGCAGCAGGTTTCTGAAAGCGGCCCTTTTCCATCACTTGTGTCATTATGGAATGGATCTTGGGGGAAGCATCTGCGGATTCTCTCTCCTTTAATTTTGGAGCTTTGGGTTTCATTTTTTTGTTAGCAGGTTTGATCCTGTTGTCACCTGGTTCCTTTGGACGTTTGTTCTTTGCAGGCTGACCAACAGCTATCATGGGGGAAAAATACAATATCAGTAGTAATTATTCATTCATTCATTCATTCATTCATTCATTCATTCATTCATTCTCCGTCTTTTTCCTTAAAAAGGATAAACGTGGCTTACATTATTAAAAGACAAGATTAAAGCTAAAAACAGTAAATATACAAATACTAAAAAGGACCAATACCACACTAAATAATGGTAAATAAGCAACATCAAAAACACATTCAAAGCAGCAAGGTTCAGCAATCAATTTAAAAACTGTGCTCAGACAACCAGTCACTGAGGGAAAGCTTGCCTGAAGAGAAAGGTCTTTGCCTTTTTGCCTGTTTGCAGGACAGCAAATATACTTTTCAGAAAGTGCTCCTCACTCCTCAAATTGAAGGGAGCCCAGAATACCTAAAACCTTGACATTATATTAGAATATGCAACTACTGTATAAAATAGGCAAGATTGACATGGAGTTTGTTTTTGACATCCTGGTCATTTTTTTTAAGTCACTGATAGGCAATTTTAAATGTGCATACATTTAAATTAACACATGCAAGTAAGCAATTACTATGTTCTACCCTGAGGAGAGATGACACTTCTTTGAAAAATCAGTCAGTTTTGCAAGAAGTTATTCTTTGTCAGCACTCCCAGGAAAACACAGCTACACAAAAAAAGAGCTGATTTTATAGATTCTGAAATTAGCTTAGGGTTTTAAAAAACTAGGCAGAGCGATCACTAAAAATGCATCAGCTCGGAAACTTTTACACTGGTAAAAACTGTTTCAGGCCAGCCCTACCATTAGGCAGAGTGAAGTAAGCACAAGAGGCTGAAGATTTTATGAGTTGTGACGAAGCAACAAGTTCTCCAATATTTGGTTTACAGCACTTTTGTCCAGGATAGTGAGAGCTGCTTGTGCGATTTTCTGCTTCATGTGCCACATGAACATGACTGGCTGCCAGCTCTGAGACATTTGATGGGTAAGATGCTTTGAGGGGCATCTACAATCCCTAAGGTATTAAAATATCTTGGGTTGACCAAGCTTTCTAGTCATCACGTGTTTATTTATGTATCTGCCTCCATGCTCCTATAAGTATTACAACTTACAAATTACAACTTACAAATTACAATCTTGGTAGCAAGATTTCAGCTCTACTGTTAGGCAAAATGGGACAGTTGCCTCATGTAACAGACTAGAGTCATCATCATAGGCATCCTTCAGTCTCGAGAGACTGTGGTAATATGTTCTGTATGGAGGACTTGGAACAGCGTCTAGTGTTTTGATGCTCCACGCAAAGCTGGAGTGTCCTCTCCAGGGAACGAAGCCTGGGTAAAATAATGTGGAGAATAGGCTGTTACCAGTCAGCCATCTTTCTGGTCTTCTTGACAAAGGTGGACAAGGCGGTGTTATAGACAGTGTTCTTGAAGTGTTCCCATCGTTCAGGTGCATTT